AGGGCTAACCATTACATCATAGAACCTGACAAATCTTGGCACAGTTACTAAGTTTTTTTTGTCTCCAAACAGTTAAAAAAAGGAAAACATGAACTCTTTTTTCTTTTTACCAAAATAAAGTTCCTACCAAGATTTGAACTCAGATTGCTGATTGTATTTTAGTTAATAAGTATTTTGTCTATCTAAAATCAGTTTTAACCGGCAAAACAATAAACCTCTTTATTGGTTAGCAGAAAACAAAGACCTACCAAGATTTGAACTCAGACCTCTGCATTCAAAGTCCAGAGTGCTAACCATTACATCATAGAACCACACTCTTAATAGTTGAGATAATAAGTCCTATGTATATCTTCAACCAGTTTTCACCAGCAAAACACAATATTTTTTTATTGTTAGCAGAAAAAAAGGTCCTACCGAGATTTGAACTCGGATCGCTGGATTCAGAGTCCAGAGTGCTAACCATTACAACATAGAACCTGATAAATCTTAGCACAGTTTCTAAGTTCTTTGTCTATCTAAAACCAGTTGAAAAGGGTAAAACATTAAATCTTTTTTATTTTTACCAAAATAAAGGTCCTACTGAGATTTTAACTCGGATCACTGGATTCAGAGTACAGAGTGCTAACCATTACACCACGCAACCAGACAACTCTTACTTTAGTTTATAAGTGTTTTGTCTATCTAAAATCAGTTTTAACCGGTAAACCAATAAACCTCTTTAATGGTTAGCAGAAAGAAAAGGTCCTACCAAGATTTGAACTCGGATCGCTGGATTCAAAGTGCAGAGTGCTAACAATTACACAATAAAACCACATGTTTCTTATCTGAGATACTAAGTTTTTTGTCTATCTCTAACCAGTTGAAACAAGGAAAACATGAAATATTTGTTTTTTTTTTAACAAAAAAAAATGGTCCTACCAAGATTTGAACTCAGATCGCTGGATTCAAAGTCCAGAGTGCTAACCATTACACCATAGAACCAGACATTTAATATTTGAGATAATACGTCCTATTTCTATCTTCAACCAGTTTTAGCCAGCAAAACACTGAAATTTTTTTATTGTTAGCAGAAAAAAGGTCCTACCGAGATATGAACTCAGTTCACTAGATTCAGAGTCCAGAGTGCTAACATTTACACCATAGAACCTGATAAATCTTAGCACAGTTACTACGTTCTTTGTCTATCTACAAACAGTTAAAACAAGGAAAACATGAAATCTTTTTTATTTTTACCAAAAAAAAGGTCCTACTGATATTTGAACTCGGATCACTGGATTGGGAGTCCAGAGTGCTAACCATTACACCATACAACCAGACAACTCTTACTTAGATTAATAAGTATTTTGTCTATCTAAAATGAGTTTTAACCGGCAAAACAATAAACCTCTTTATTGGTTAGCAGAAATAAAAGTGCTACCGAAATGGGTAAAACATTAAATCTTTTTTATTTTTACCAAAACAAAGGTCCTACTAAAATTTGAACTCAGATCACTGGATTCAGAGTCCAGAGTGCTAACCTTTACACCATA